AAAGATTATCAACACCCAAAATTGATTTAAACTGAAATTCCGTCTATTCGTGGAATTTTTGGTACGAGTTACCGTTTGTTCGAATGAAAAGTAGTATAGGTAATGGTTTCATATCCGAAAACAAGGGTGACGAAAACGTAATGTAACGTTTCCAGAGCTACCGGCCGTTTCTTAAATGTCCCAACTTTAATACTCTCCGGGGTAATGAGCGTCTTGCGTTGCGTTGATCACCCTGTATATACGAAACTATCAGACTCGCATAATTATAGTACACTGTATGAAATAGTTACATCTAAATTATTAACAAAACAATATAACGCGTCTAACGTGTTATCATTATACTGGACATCATCGTCGTAAATAATATTATCTAATTTGACATTACAATTTAGATATATGTGTTATTTCGCTTGTGACGTGCCCCTTGTTGTACATTGAAAATGTTATATTATTATGTTGATAAATCGTACAATTTACTGTGTTCGGTTTATTATGTTACACAATGCAGACATACAGCCCGGTATATGTGTCGAAAATAATCAGACGTTCGGACTTGTTTGAATAATACACAAAACATATCGAAGTGTTACCGTTTGTGAAACGCTTCGCGTGAATTCAATATTCAAATACAGAAAAACGCATACAAAAATAAAATCACGACAACACGTAAACGATGTCCGAAGTTTCGTCTATGCATATTCGAATATTCGTATAACAACTAGCAAACAAAAAACAAACGAAATCGTTTATTCGGAGTTTTAGACTCGGAACGTAGCGAGCAATGTATTGGTTTTACAATGATGTTCATTTTATTTTTTCAGTGAACAACTTTTCTACCAGAAATCTCGATCCGATGTATCACCTTTTCTGAAAGAAAATTTTATCAACTTAGTACCTGCATTAACAGGGTAAATTCTTTTGATTTTCTGAGCGGTTTTCATAATAATTGAGAAAAACCGACTCCCCCCCCCTAGCTTTCCAGCAAGTTAAAATAATTATATCCAAATTCAATATCTTGAAATCCCAAAATGCATTATTTGTAATAAAGTGTATTGATATTTTTCAATACTTTATCAATACCTACACCTTGATTGACACCTAGTTGATAGGTATGCTTCGTGATAAAAGAATTTCGCCAATTTATTATCACAATATGCCCCGATTTATGCCCTGTGATTTAAAGTTAGTACCAACCGCTAAAGCCGATCATTTGTGGATAGTCGACTTGCGGTTATCTAATGTGTGAGAATCGTTAAACCGGATTATGTACGTTAAGTTTACATAGGAAAAAAATTTGAATAACTTAATTTAACTGAAAAAGTTGTTGAAAAATTTGGGAAAAATTAATTTAAATTGCTATTTGTGTTCAATTAGTTACTATAAGTGTAAAATATAATATTATATTATAATACGTTTAAACAATTTTTAAAATACACATATAATACATTAATAAAAGTGTTTGATTATGAATACAAATTAAAGTTGTCCCCACCCCTAAAATTTTCACCTCCGGGCACCCATGTAGGTACCTACTTGCGAACGAATGCACGTGGAATCAACTCGTGTATTAAATATAAAAAAAAGAACCCGTAACATCGCATTAGCAATTGTTATTATTGCATTAAATCAACAAACGAACAAAATACCGTCGGTAAAGTATGTACGTAGGTAGGTACCTAATAAAAAAAAAATGTTAATTGTGTTAATATAATTATTGTAGTTATTGTTGCTAATGCGTATGCGTTTATATTATGCATATATACATAGATATATAATGAGGGGGAAAAAAACTAATTCAAGTTGGTATGTTACTTGAATACTCATGTAGGTTAATTATGTACTTATCATTTTTTTAAATTATTAAATTAAACGTTTTACCATGTTAGTTCAGTTAAATTATTTAGCGACGTCGGTAGGTACGTTTATTTTTATTTTTTATACATTCTGATTAGAGCGCAAGTCACAGTATAGGTAAGTTGTTAGTTACTGTGCAGTGATTTGAACAAAAAAATATAGGTATACATACTTTTTGTAGCAGTAAAAAACAGGAAATATAATATCGATTATATTACGGAAACATATGGCACTTCAGATGTTATTTTTTTCTTCATTTGCCCTGCAGTATATTACATAGTACAGTATACTATACCGATACTAGGTAGTTTTAAAAATTCAATAAAAACAAAAACGCTCCCATCACGGTGTTTTACCTAACCGTTAGATATTTTCAGTTCCCTCGCATTCCACGTTTGTTATCGTCTCCGTCTTTATAAACATGCGACATGACAAATTTGCGTTCGACCGGAATGGGTAATAGTGTTTGTGATTAATTTCGATATAAGATAGGTTTGACCTATTTATCGAACTTAAAAATAAGATTTTTTTTATTAAGTTTTTTTCTAGATATTTTAATTTTCAAGCGAAATATGAATATCTCAATTTAAAAACGCCTGTATTTCTCTCAAAAATTTACAATTTAGAACAAACCTAAGTGCAACTTTTAAATTTGAAAACAGTTCGACAATTCGCTCTAATATCAAAACTATAACAGCACAAAGTCGTCCCTGTTGAACGGAAATTCGCTGTCGGAGACAGCACTTGTGCAGCGGGTGTCATTGCACGTATCAAGTGTCACGTCCTTTAAAGATTTGTCAATGTTCAAAAAATAAAAAAAAAAAATTAGAAAATATTAAATTTATCAACTCTAAAATATTCAAATTTACTGTCGGATAATTGTACAAGTAGTCCTTGGTCACACGAATCTAAAATAACGCAGACACGAACTATAGTCGATACCCAATATCTGCTCGCCAATATTTCCCAATAGTTTCTCCTATTTTTACTGTGTAAATTAATATTAAACGTGTATTAATATTTTAGTTTTTTCATATTGATTATCATACTCACACCTAATTCATAAAAAACAAAAACCGAGAAGCAATCGCCTAAGGTTGTTAGTTCGTTTCATCGTGGCAAATAGTCTTTTGTCATTACCACGAGTATTTTTGTGATCATAATATAAGCTAAAATGTCTACGAAAAACTGTTTCACAAGTGATAACTCCAATTTTTCCGTATTTATAATAAAACTACCAGGATTTCACAGCACGCTAAGAAGAACTTCATGTGTCGTAGCGTACTATTTTTTTTTTTTTTGTCAACATAAATCCAATAAATTTAATGTTATCGGTTTGAAAACTTTCGGTTGTTGGTTTTTTAATTTGCTAAAATAAAATTAAGTTCTTCTTAACGTACAGCGAAATTTCGGTAACTATACTATAAACACGAAGATCGTTTTATTTTATAATAAAATTATAACCACAACCTAACCTATAATAGGTTCGTGTATATGTGCGCACATCATGCAAACTGCTGCACGGATTTTATTCCGATTCTCAGTATAATTTCTTCTCCGGTACTTTTCGCGGGAAACGTATATAGGTCAAGTTAGTAGCTTAGGTGTCTTGGGAACCAACATCTAAAAGGACGCCTGGTGCACATGATTTTTATATTTTCGTTTTGTTTGCTATTGTGTTACCTCAGTGACGCGGATGACAAACAAAAAAAAATAGGTAAGCGCCTAATTATTATTTAATTTGGTTGTCACGGGCAAGAAAGTCCCTTTTTTAAAGAAGATTAAAGAGGTTATAAAAAAAAAAAAACAAAAAACAAATGTGCTGATGTACTATAGTTGTGCAACGGGGTAAGAGGGTAGGGGTTAAATCCACGGGCAAGACCGTGCGCCGTGCGAATTTCAGCCGTACGAAAACCGAGTGTAATTTTGTTGAAACTGTTCGTGCAAAACAATGTAATATAATATTCCGAGAACTTTCGTAACGCCGTACGTATACGTTTATTACTTTGTTGAAAATTATATCAATAATAGTATCTGTATACACGCGTTTAACCGGGAAATGTTGTTATCGAATAATGCTGTGAACGATTTTCGCAAAAGAAACACGCATTTTAGTAGGGGAAAAAATTTAAAAAAAAAAAAAGACACCGGTTTTGTAAACAGTAATATTTGTTTGCGTTACACATTGCGTGCGAATAATCAGAGAGAAAAAAAATTATCAAAACGTTAGACACGTTTTTTAGGTAAACAATATTCCGAGCCCGACGAATATAATAATGGCGAGCTGCAGAAAAGCATGAACGACCTAGTTAAAAGAAAATCTGACCTTGAAGAATTTAAACCCCGTTTAATCAATATTCCGAGGCGGTGGTTGCCGGTCGGGTGTGGACTGATGCTCGCGCACTCATAATACAGTTTGTTCTCTCTCGGCTGACCCACTTATCTCGATTACGGTGGCGGTTTTCGGGACCTGCGAGTTCACCGCGGAACACCTCGTATCAGTCAGAATAATAGCCGTCCGTAAATAACGCGCGAAACAAAACGTTCCGAAAATAAATTTCTTCAACCCCCCCCCCCCCCCTCCACGCATTGTAACAATAATGTACGCAAACACGTTGTGTACATAATATAAAGAGATTAGTTACCCCGGAACGGGTCGAAAGTAAAAACATAAAAAAAAAAGTCGTAGAGCGGGCCGGGAGTTGTTTTCAAAAACGAGAACCGTAAATAATAAATTAAAATTTCTGTGAATAATCAAAAACTTGTCTTCCGACATTTTCCGGGTGTTAAACAAAAAACTATGGGAAATTAAAAAAAATTAATATACCTAAAGTAGGTAAAATGTTTTTTACATTGCCTAAATAATTATACAACTATTAATTAGGTAAGCGAGTTCAAATAACTTTTTGACAGTGTGAACGACCTTGACAAAGTATGTATGAAATTAAATAAAAAATATTGTTGTAAAGTGTACAATGTCCCAGTGCCATTGGGTTTGGAGGGGGGGGGTGCAGTACAGATGTACGGTAAACTCGTCTATTATTCACCGACCCATCATAATTTTAAATTTGGGAAGATACAATTAGAACTAAGAATAATTTATGCTATAATATGGTATTTTTAATACACAAATGGGTATATTTATACTAATATTATGTAAGTATAATAACTTGAACTAAAATTAAGGATAATTTCTAACCATGTTTACACTTTGTATAACTCATAAATACATTTTGTAATTATCAATTATCTGTGTGATTATAAATCGCTAATCTTCTAACAAATGATCATATAAAACTGAGTAGATAATTAATAAATTACTTTCAATAAGACAAATTAATAAAATAATTATGGCCTGTGAATGAGTAAAACAAGTTGCCTACTTTAATTTTTGTTCTCTTCTTATATTACTGAATTGGCACCAGTGAAGTGGTACTAATCAGTACCTAATCAATGATATCTCTCTAATTAAGTTTTTACTGATTTCATTTGTAAGAGATAAAAATAAAAAAGATCACCATAACACTGAAATACACAAATATTACAAGAATAGAAAATGGTTAATTATTCATAATATAATAAATGGAAAATAATTAAATTAAAACCAAATACAGTTAAATTCAATTAATATTATGTTATTGCTGATTAAATTGTACAAATAAAAAATAATAGAAATTAGGTTTGGTAAATTGATACAAATGTAAAATGTTCACTCATTTGTTTAGAACTGGTGTTAAGTTAATGGTTTTGACTTCTCCAGTTTTATACTCTTAAAAAACACTGAATCCAATGATGTTAAATGTTAATATATTTTTTCTATTAAATTAACAATATTTTCTGTAGCCCAGAAGACACTAAGTTCATTTTTGGTGAAATTGAATTAGAATGTCTTTGTACATTTTTCGCTCCATGTAAAGGTATAGGGCACTACATCTAGTTATCAGCGGTAACGGACATAAGGCGATGGAAAATAAAACTGTACAATTATGTCCGAGGGTATACAAAACTATGTTTATAAAAGATACATCATTTTTTTAAATTATTAAAATTAGTATTTCTGTCTTGTAAAGAATAATAATTATGATAATTTTAAGTTTTGTAAAGCAATTTGTATTAGTTACAAAGAACAAATTTATAGATAAAAATAATTTAAAATTTGACGCCTGTAAAATTACTATTTAGTGATATGGTATCTTTTACCTCCGGGGTACAGTTTTGTTCCTACGATTCAGCGTATAATTTACATTTTAACATGTTTCAGTCAAGATCAAGATTAATGGAATTACTTTTTTTTTTTTTTTAAATACTTAATTGAAGATAAACATTTCTTTTTAAACTCAAAAATAACACCTGATAGTATTATTATTAATCATAGATACAACTAATGGTTAAAAAAAATAATTTATTGTCATATTAAAACTGTAATATATAAAACAAATTGTCACAAATATTTATTATAAAATTAGCAATCACTATTATTATCACCATAACATTTTTTTAATAAACCCGATATACCACAAAGCCGTGCTTTAAATGATTTGTGTATCATGCAACAATTTTGTAGATATAATATTATTAAACAAAAAAATATTAATAAACATTTTTTCATTGGTTTGAAGTCAATTATTTATGTAAAAAAAGAAAATCAAAATAACACAGTAATTTAAAAATAATTAATTTTAATGAGTTTTGAGATAAATAAATTTATAAATTGACCGTTGGGCATATAATGCTAACACTAAGCAATTAAAAAAATAAATCATATCATAAACAATTATTTTGCAATTTCTTAAGACACTAAATTTTTAAAATTTGTATTATTATTAATTTTACTTATCACAAAAAGTAAGGTGTAGCAGCCTTATCTGGAATAACTCGTTGATCATCAGGAACAGCATTAAACAATATTGGCTTGCGATCATGAACTGTAGAAAACTCCATTATGGATGCAATGTTCCCACATCGATAACAGTAGTTAGGTGCTGACCATATAGTTACTAGTTTATCATTAAACATGTATTTATACCCTGAAAAATGATTAAAGTTAATAATAAGTATAACTAAAAGTATATGAAGTAAAAGGGTATTTAAAAACAAAATTGTTTTAATTCTAAATATTATTATCAAATATAGTCAAAGAATTCTAGCTGAAAAATGAAAGCAAAATTATTTTATTTTTACTAATACTTAAATACTAATAGAGTGCATAAGCATGTTTAGAAATTTCCAGGTATTAACTTCGTAATACATAAATTATGTTTATTTTCAGTTCAATAGTTGAAAATTGTGTGAACTTTAACTTGAATACTGAAGTGATAAATAAATTTTCAAATAAAAAATTAATGCATATACATGTATATGTATAATATTAATAATAAAGTTATAAATTATGAGTTATTTGTGAAATACAATTTAATTTTGTATTTTGTTAAATTATTAATATTAAATTTAATTAAAATATAAAGAAAAGTTGTCATAATTGTATAAATTGTTTATATTATTAGGTTTGTAACTTGTAGCATTTGCATATTTTTTTGATACATCCTAGAAAAACATAAATAACTATACATTTGTTTCAGATAACTAATAGGTCAAATACAACATTTTTTTTTTGTCATAAATGTATGTATACTTCAAAGTTTTGATTCAATTTTACTATTTTTATGGCAAATTTGTGTATATTTCAGCACTTATCTAAATGATTTTAAAAACATTAAGCTTATAACAACCCATTTTTAGACAGAACTAAATAATTATGAAACAACCAACTAATAGATGATAGAAATTAATAAAATAGTCAGCTAAAATACAAAGTTACTCAATACTTTAAATTAAATAAACATAATTTTATTTATATCAGATTGTTTACCTTCATTAACCAATTGATGAGCTCTACAAATCAATTCTAATTGATTTTTCTCCATAAATTCTTCAGTCACTTCAGGCCCGAATAACCAGCCAGCCCCACGGGGGCTTACTGTCCATTTTTCGATATCTTCTGGATCAGACCACACTAAATCGCAAAATGCGCCTAAAAAATCAAAACCATTTTAACATTAAACTACTTTAATATTAAAGTTGAAACACAACTTTAAAATGTAAAAATTTACAATAAAAACATTTAAAATCTCATAACACAGAAAAACTAAATCAAAAATAAAAAAATTGTACTTTCAAAAAAAATATTAATATTTTATATATATTTTAGATAAAATTAATGAAAACCTTATTAATTGATATGATTAAATATATATTTTGTTCTTAAACTGAATGTTTGTTTTTGTATTACCTTTATATGGAATTTCTTGATTTCGTTCAATTATTCTGATTTGGTCTAAAGTTGAAATATCAGGAGATAAACCACCGTGAACACAAAATACTTCTTCATCTATCAACTGTAAAAATATTTAAAACTGCAATAGAAGTCAAGAGATTTAATAAAATTAAAAATCATACCGCAGCAATAGACAGCAAATCAAAAACTTTGCAACATTCTTTCCACACATTTGCATTGCCATACTTGTTCATACATTCATCTGAAAATGAATACAATGCACACTATTGTTAAATAATTTGAAAATGAAAGAAATTTATCCATAAAGTTATACAATGGAAATTAATTTTTACAATCCTAAATTATTTTGTATTCTGAATATCACAAATAGTAATTATAATTAAGCATCAACAATTTAGTGGGTATTTAATATTCATGGTTAACAATCATACTTATGATTGCTCACTATAATAACTCACTTCTATGATAATAAAATGAGGCGCCATCAAGTAATTTTTTAATTAAATTTAGTCAAGTTTGTTTTCAACTACCTGATGTGTTTTAACAAATTTAATATTGTTTACATTATGAGTAAAATTTTAAGTATGTAAGTTATTGAAAATTGTGTTTATTTTAGATTCTTCGATTACAATTTCAATTGTTATTATAATAATTGAAAGATCATTAAAAGAAATAACAAATCACACTAGTAAAATATTATTTACAGTTGACTACTATTAATGTGTGTATTATACAATTATGATACCTTTATATAAATAATCAAATAAAAATCTAAAAAGTATAATATTAATAACAAAAATGTTAAGTGTTCATACCATAAAATCCATAGACTTGTGTTATTTGTCTAGATTCATGATTTCCTCGAAGTAATGTGATACGATGTGGCCACTTTGCTTTTAGAGTTAGAAGTCTAGTTAATGATTCCAAGCTGTAATACCCCCGATCAACAAAATCTCCCATAAATACATAATTAGTATCAGGGACTTGACCTCCATTTCTAAATAGTTCTTCTAAATCGTAAAACTTGTGAAACAAATAATCAAAATCAATTTACAATTCATTAAAATTTAAACATGATAATATTGAAATATATATAATTACTTGTCCGTGAATATCTCCACAAACAGTCACTGGGGTGCTGACTGGTTGGATATTGGCCTCCTCAATTAACAAATCACATACAATCTGACATAATTTCTATAAACAACACGTACTTCATTAATACCAATCATTTATTTGACAATTTCTATAATGATGAACTTGCCTTTAAATCATTTTCTGGTAAATATTTGCATTGTTTGGCAATCTCAAACCAATTTTCCCACTCGGGCATTTCAAATAATAAAAACGAATTACAACGATTTTTAGATTACATTAGTCGTAAATAATACTATGAATACAAAATAAATAAACAAATGTTAAAATAATAAAACTAAAAAATCCAATTTTCAAACATTTTTTAAGAGAATAAAACAATATTCAAGGACTCATTATCACAAATCACAATAACTCTCTTATCATTCTTTTCGGCGAATACAGTGTGACACGATTTATAAATACGTTACATTTTCAGTCTCCCACGCGATATAAGATATAATGTAAACAATAAAATGCATTCAAGACTCAAAACGTCAAGTGCCATAGACTTACAATATAATTGTATAATTCTATGTCAAGTGCATAAGAACAACGAATCCGTAAATGCCACAGATCCGGTGGGTTTTATTACCAATACGGTGCTGTTTCATGCATTTATTCAATATTGGATATCTAAGTGACTACATCGATTATAAGTGATAAACTGGTAACTATTCGACTTGAGAGCATGGTCCTCGGTCTTGTCATATTCAAAAATAATACATTGTATTGAATATTTTAAATATTATTGCCATATTAAATTAATAACAAGTAATACATTTTTTTTCGCCAAATTAGTAGTTTTCATCAAAAAATTAACATTTCATATTGTTTTTAAATTAATAATATCTACCTGTTTACATTACATTAAAATTATTATTATACACAACTATAAGGGTTGACAGGGGGTTAGGGTCTAATGAAGGTTTTATAGATAGACACCAAAAAAATAAAAATACTGTTGTTGTAGCGGCATGATTTTTTTTATAAATAGGACCAGAAAGAGATGTATTTGAATTACAAAATTACAAACTCATGTACAATTTGTCGTTAAAAAAAATGATTATTAAATAACAACATACAATATGAATCACTTATCATAGACATAAATATCGAATAAATCGATTATTGAATAAAATATGCACGGAACAGGCAAACGGCACCGCACCGGTGAAAACACGCTCCGGATCTGTGGCATTTACGGGCTCGAATAGCCGTATAGGAACTTGGAACGTAGCATTATTTTATAATAATACCGCATAGTCATGCTGCTTAGTACGGTTTCATAATAGGTATATGAACGTAGAACAAACAGGCCTGGATTAAGAAAGTTTAGAACTGGATCCAAATATCAGCTTTGTTTGTTTTAGCAAAAGGTGTACACATTTTTACACAAAATTTACATTTTTTACTGCATTTTCGATAAAGCAGTAATGTGATGTGAGTAACACATTACTCACACCAGCCACACCATCAAATATTTACGTATTGACTCTAAATGTGTAAAAAATATGTATATCTACACTTTTTTATCAAAACCAACAATCCAAGGTATTATTAGGCACTAAAATTATAAATAAAAATATGTAATGATATTGAAAAATTCACCGTATTCATCTATTTTAAGATTTTATAAAATTAATATCATTATTATACGTTATAAAAATATGAAATATTATGATATAATAAGATATTACTGAAAATATTTACTTCAAGGTCGCCCGCATCCCGCAAGAGAAGGCAAAAGGGGCAATTTCCCTCCCTAATTACTTTTATCACGCTTAATGGCATACCAAATAATTTATATAAAATATGTTTCTACTGAAATTTATTTTTATTATCTAATGGTGATGGTATCTAACATGCAATAATAATAAACAAAAATTATTTTTAATGAGTTTTTAATTTACAAATTTGTGTATCTAAATGAAAACAAAATTTTTATAACAAGTGATTTTACTCCCAAACCAAAATTAAGAGTTTTACATAGTCTGTATAAGGTGGATTTTGTTATATTCCTATATAATTGGACTGAGACAGTACATGCGTGTATATCTTCCTCTTAAGAAAGAAATGTGATTAGAACCAAAGACGGGACAACTTTCTTTGTGACCGTTCCTTTTGCGTCTAAATATTGGGTATTTATTTTGGAATTAAATTAATTTAAATTATTTTCATATGGTGTATTGCAATTTAGTAAACTTAATGCATATTATTTAATATTAGTACTATTGAAATTTTTTTAAAGATACAAGCAGATTTAGAGCTTTTCTATTGATCATAAATTATTTTCAGAATTTCAGTTTTTTGTACAGAAAAAGTATATAAAAGAGATAATCTACATAATTAAGTAATTAAAACACATTTTACATTTTTTTTGAAATTTAAAAATAATAATTGCAAATAATACAAGCCATAGGACCATAATATTAAGATATCCTGTGGCCTGGGACCATGGTGACTCCTGCCCCAAAAACAATCATTAATACATATTTCAATATAGGTACATTTATTGTTAACGTATTATAATATGATTTACAGAATAGGAATGTTAAATTTAAAATAATAAATAACATAAAAAAAAAAATTATTATTCAGTCACCTCAAAATAATAATAGTTTAAATATAATATATAAATAAGCCGTTTTACAGCACAAAAATAGGTGACAAAAATATATAATTCATTATTATGGAAATAATAACAATTTATTAATAAATAATAATTTTAACTGTACAACCAACGTTAAGCAACAATATGGTATTACGGATATTTGTGTAATGTAATTGTTTATACAAACTTCGACATATTTTACTTAATAAAAATATTAATTAAGATTTGTTTTTTATTTTTATTTTTTACATAATTGAATTATTGTATCATTGTGTCACAGGCATTGATGAAAAACAGAACAAAAATTAAGTTGTTTTCTCATGCTTGATAATGTTATTAATAAGCACTGTACAGTCTTCCAAGATTTTTAATAATTATAAAAAAAAAAAAAACAAAATGTATTATTATTTTGCATTTACGCATTTAGTGGCTGTCTATTGGGTCGTCGTAAGTAAATTATGTAGGATAGTAATGCAAACAGTATTGCTATTAAATATAAATCCCAATTGAACCCCATAGGCGCAGCAACATCATTTGATAGAATGTTCATAAAATTTAGAAATTCCTGAAACAGATAATATATATTACGATTAATAATATGGTTTTTAACATTATTACACCATATCAGATTCTTACTGTGTAATATTGTTTCGCCATATTAAATAAATTAAGTTTGGTTAAAGCTAAAAATACAGGTACTTTTGCGTCTATACTGGTTTCTGCAGCCATATCGTAACATCGTTTTGCCAAATGGATATCCTGTACAACAATATTATAATTATGTTGACAATGAATTTTTAAATTTTATAAAAAAAAAAAAAATAATTTACTTGTTCCATTCCTAATCCCATTTCATGCATGTAACCTAAATTGAACATAGCCTGGGCATTATGATGTTGTTCGGACGCCTGTCGATAATGATTGGCAGCTAATTCAAAGTCAACTTTAGTACCAAGTCCATAATAATGATAGTCTCCCAGTTTCAATTGTGCTGATGCATAACCTTGAGCAGCCGATCTACTCCAATACATCATTGCACGGACATAACGTTCTTTTTCTGTTTCCCACATGTCAATATCTCCTTAACAGCAATAAATAAATAGCACTTTTTTTTTTATCACAGTATGATTTAAAAAATAACAACATACCTTTGTCTAAAATAAATGCAGTATTACTTTGTGCAACCTCATATCCCATTTCAGCCAAGAAAGAGTATAAAACAAATGACTCTTGAAATCGATTGTCTTTATACTCATTGTAAGCGTGCATTAAATAACTACCCCATTTACCACGTTCTGCAACGTTTTTGAACAACTGAAATTATCAAACATTTTTAATAAAATCTTAATTTAATTTACTTTTACAATACACTTTACCTCTAAAGATGTTGTACAGGAACGTAAAATACCAACACCAGAGGCATGCATTTGTGCCAAATTATAGTAAGCTAATAGGTTACCCGATTTTGATGCTAAACCAAAGTTTTTAATGGCTAATTTATAATCGCGTTTCACGCCTAATCCCTCTGTAATAAAAATATTAATTTGAATAAATTTTTAAATAATAAATTTGTATTTTGAACTTACTATAGTACATTATTCCCACGTACAAATGTCCTTCAACCCAACCTTGTTCAGCAGCCATAGTAAACCAATTTAAAGCCTGTGCATAGTCTTGGGCTACATTGAGTCCATGTAGATACATATAACCGAGACCACTTTGACCTACTGGATTTTTCACTTGTGCAGCTTTATAAAAATATTCAAGAGCTTTTTCATAATCTGGTTTAACATCATCACGGTCTTCCAAATATATCTAGTAGAAAATATTTTATTGCAAGTCATTTATAAAAAAAAAATATATATATATATATATATAAAAATATTTATTACTTTTCCAAGAAAACCGTATGCAAGAGGATTACCATTCTCAGCTGCTTTTTGAAAATAATAATGAGCAGTTTGTATATCTATGGGCACGCCTCTTCCACCTTGTAAATATAACTGACCTAACCCAACCTAATAAAAACAATAACATAAATACATTTTAAATACAAAAGCATATTATGATTTATAATTTTTTTGATGGATTTTACTACTTAATATTTATTAATCATATCATACTTGTGCTTGGGCATCTCCTTTATTAGCTAACATTTTATAGTAATCCAACAAATCTGAATCTACTATTCCACCATTATAACTTGGATTATCTTGCTCTTCCATTAATTTTATACGTTGAATGAGTGGCCCACCAGATAAAGATAATTCATTTGCCACTAAAAGTTATTAAATAAAAATAACTTGAGTTGAACAAAAGTGTACCTACACAGTTAGTTACCATTATTTGCAACTGCCCTGTAATATTCTAAAGACTTTTCACAACTATACGCTACAGTAGCACCAGCAAAATATCGATATCCTAATACTAATTGGGCCAAGACATTACCACCAACAGCAGCCATCACATAATGTATAAGAGCTTTTGGTTGACTCACAGGTACATGTAATCCAATTGCATACAAAAAACCCATACCCTAAATATTAATAAAAAAAATGTTATGTTTATATTATGTATTCATAATTAAACCAGAATTCAAATAATGAATTTAATTTTATTAAAAAGTTCAGAATAATTACTAAATGAGCATCGGGATTTCCCTTTTGTGATAATTCACTGAATATTTGAAATGCTTTAGGGATGTCTTGGGGATATTTTAAGCCAAATAATAAAGCAAATGCAAATTTTGCTTTTGCCTCTTCGTGGCCTAATGTATAAGCTCTGTAAAAGAACTCATAGGCATCTAAATGATCTCCAAGAGCAGACTTTAATTTTTTCAATCCCACACGATATAATTGATCCGCTAGAAATAATAAATAAAGATTATACAGCAATTATTTGGATTGTTCAAATAAATAAAAGAAATTCTCACCTTCTTTTTCTCTGGACGTAACTGGAGGAGCTTTTACTGGTTCTTTCCAATCTGTAACATCGATTTCATCGTCGATATCATCATCATTTTTTATATTCTGTATATTAATCTCATCGTTTGACAAATCCGCCCAGTAATTAAATAGACTAGCAGTGGGAAATTTAACTAATTGTAAACTATCGACATCTAAATCATCTGTTTTTAATTTTTCTTGGGATTGATCAGTAGGTTTTTGCTAAAATTATTTTACACAATTAACACAATGAACAAATGATGTACATATTAGGATGACATTACTTTGGATAAATCAGGAGCTTCAATAATTTTTATAGCATCATTATTAATCAGATTTAGCATACGGCTAGTGGGATCATCATAGCGTTCGTCTACATCATTGGTTGATATATCATAATTGTTGTCTTCCTCCTCATCTGTAGAGGTTTTCTCTCCACTGACCAAGGTGAGCACCAGTACAAAAATAAGCCATTTTAAAAATCGTTCCTTCATTGATAGAACTAAAAAAACAATTTTAAAATATTAACACGTCGATTTTATATTAAATCCGGTACTGCTTACCTTTTAAAAATGCTCATACGCCTACAAAACTCAGAACCATACCAATTTATTATGTACAATTATCGCACAACCGAAGAATGGAGGTAATTTTATGTCAACTGCGGTAATCGACAGATATGAATTTTATGGTGTAACTTATGATAAAAATCAAATTCAAATACATTACATCACCAAAATATAATATTCATATCAACTTTTTGATAAGAATGGACGTATGCAATTTAGTTCTTTGGCGATCAACTAGATAGAGGTCAACCATTTCCGAAATGATTTTGAGAATTACATCAAAATACGAACGGTATTCAGTTGTGTTAAATAAAAAAGTTCGGTATTTTCACGATCGGTTAACGGTTGTGTTCTAAAGTCGAGTGCAGTGAGAAACGAAACGAATTCGCGGCGCTATGTACAGCGATCGATGAGATGATTAATTCGAAAACAAAAAATTGTTTTACGTGGTTCTATAGGATTTGTAGGGTTTGATAATAGCGTTGTGTTTTAGATATCGCCAGTATGACCACAAACACGAATACGGCCCGTGTATTTTCTTGCGACCGGGCCGGGTTGTATGACTTGTATGAAAACAGAAAATCGAGAAACATTTGTGTAATATAATTACAGTGTTAGATAGTGTACCTTCCTATATAATATTATGTTCGTTAAACACGAACGAAAAAATAACGAAATATTTTGAACATTTGAACAGACTTTGTGCTCAGGAAGAAGAGTAAACGCTACTATGGGTAACTAAATGGCCACGGACAGCTGGCGGATGCAGAAATTTTTTAATGGGGGCGGGCACATTATTTTTATTTTCAGTAAATTAATTATAAATTATACATTAAATAAATATATAATACACATTAATAAAAACTGTTGTCCATTGACAGGGGGGCACGTGCCCGTGTGCCCTCCCCTTGGATCAGCCACTGGCCTCGGGGGCTTGAATGTTTATAAATTTTTAACAATACGGTAAGTACCTATTTATTTTTTTATTATAAGTTGATTCGATGCTTCGGGTGATCGTGAATAATAACTGGATTTTTTTTCCCGGGATTTTTTTATTCGTTTTTTCATTCCTTGATTTTTAAGGTACATATTTAAATGGCAAAAATTTGAAAAAAGTCGATCGTTTTCTGTATTTAATTACTTACCAATAGGATATGGATTTAAATTGTCTAAAAACTAAGAAAAATGACATTAAATTTAATTTTTTCGCACATGAAATGAATTTTATCCTTGGAGAGCATTGCTTCAGGACATTCAGAAAAATATGCAATTCGCATTATAATCCGCAGCCTTACTAATTATATAGGTATCTATGAACTTATGAAGGTGTAGTAATAGACTATAGGTAATATTGTTAGTGATGACTGGGTTAATTGTATAACCGAAGACAGCGCTCTAGCTGTGAAGGTTCTGTCGAGAATTGTCAGCAATTCAAACCGAATTGCCTTGATAGCGTAGCACTCAAATTCAAACTGGAGTACCTACTGTGATAGAGAGAGTGCAGCCATACGGACTGATAAGAGATTTATTTGGCCGCCATTAATTGGCTAACCAAATCGACTATACCTAGCCACCTATAGGTTCTAACTATATTATTATACTATTTTATAAACTATGATAATAATAACAAACACCGTATATTTCTAAATTATTTTGCTCTAAATGTTTATTGTGGATTATACATTTACAAATATTGACGTTTAAAATCACAAGTAGGCACCTACCTACACCTCGTCATCATTAACGTTTATTTACAATTATAGCTTATAATATTGTATTGGTAACATAACTCATTGACTATAGGTGTGATCACGGTAGAATATCTTTGATTGATTGTGAAGACTCCATTATATAATATTTCGTTTTCACGTCTATTATTGTCCACTTGTAACGCATTAGTACCTCACTAAGTTTTTTGTTTTCTACATAGAAAATTTGTACATAGTACACTTTAAGGTAATCCTGAGTAAATCTAGAAGTTAGGAAAAAATTTAATCAAAAACTTAAACATTGTCAACGAAGTATCTACTCATCGTGATCAATGTATCAATTACCTATCGTTATTATTATTATTTTTTTGTTTTTTACGTTTTAAAACAATACCTATTTCTAATTTCGCAGCATTAATTGTTAATTGCGTATTATACCCAATCTAATAAATAGCCGAAAGGCTCTTACCTGCATTTAATTATATGTAATCTAACAAGACCGCAAACATAGCTAATGGAACGATTTGTTTTAGCTTGTGATTCATGCAGACCGACCATTCTATATCTATCAATGATATTTTTTTAAATTCCATAATAATTTCCATATTAAATTCAAATGTTCACAATTGGATATACTGATATGGTAGTGTCTGTTAGAATATATATTATATAATTACAGGTAAATTTAGCCAATGAGAACTATTAGCCACTAGCAAATAATAAAATATGCGTTTGTTACAATAATATTTTACCATCTATAGATATTATCCCTATAGGGAAGGGAACATATAGTTCTAAAAAATTGCTAAATATTATACAATGGCTTGTTTTCACTATTTTTGATTTTGAACAGAGCGAGGAATGTACCTATTGGTTTTACAATGATGTTTATTTATTTATTTTTCTTTTTACTGTGAACAATTTTTTTAGCAGAAATTTTGTTCCGATTTACAAGTACGATAAGTAGTGGTGATGAAGAAAAGCGTAATAATTATACATGTTTCTGTACGGTAAACATTTCTTATCGTATTCATTGTATTATTTTATATTACTCGTTTCAACATTTTTTATATTACCGTCTGTTAGTCCAGTCAAAGAGTAAAATCGGGGTGGGGGAGGTACCTTAGAAAAATTCCGAATTTAATGAAACTTTAGGATGTTATTATGGGTGTCCAGTAGTGCTACACCCCATTTTGTTTTCATTAACTTGGTGATTTTAGATAATTGTAAGAGAAAAATACGGGCCGATACACGAGTGATGGATGTAGCCATTATAGATAGCCATTATAGGTGTACAGTTGGGAAGGTAGGATACACGAATGTATTTAATTTATAACTGTAAGCAACGATGAACCATTGCTGACGAACGACGATTCTGAGCGGAGCTTGGTTAATAGTATAGAACATAAATAAAACAATACTAGGTATTATAATTTATAATATAATAAATCGATTTTATTAGTTTGAATATTTTTAGCGGGCTATTCCGTGTTCGGTGTTTACTATTAAAAATTCATAGCCCCAAAATACGTCTACCCGTCAGCACTTGTGCGGCAACACGGGAAACGTTTTTTTAATATTGTAACCGGCGGGAAGGTAGGAAGTTGCTCATCCTTATCTTCCATGACCGTGGTTACCTATTATCTACGGGTTATATTACGACGTTTCATTGTGTTCTTTTTCATTTATTTTTCCATGACATTTCCAACTTTTATTTTTATCTGTATTGCACGATATTTTCACTCCAATCTTCTCCCTCTTTGCGTGGTACATAGTTTATAGGGCTATGGGTGATCCACCCATAGACTCAAAATAGTTCTTATCAAATTTAACATTCACCCTTGACTTTTAGTGCTCCCGGTAGAGTTGTTAATGGCGTTGCATGTTGTATTTACTAAGGGGTACGAGTTAGGAATTATATGATTGATAATTTAGTCTCTAATTTAACGAATAAAACAAAACTAATATTATAAATACTACATAGGTATGCCAGATAGATGTATTAACAAAGGTCTATAGACATAAGGATATTATACTATTAATGTCTAATGAGGTAGCTCACCGATTTAATCCAGGCCTGGATATAATAAAAGGTGTCTAAACTTACGTTTAGAAACTTAAAATTGTATCATTAATAATTTAAATTATTCACTTGAATTCTGTTATATAAGTACAAACAAATAATCTCAGATTGTTGTAATTGTGTAAACATAAGCTGTTAAAAAAAAAAAACAATTTTAAAAGTTTTAATTGTACATCTCCCAAAAATTTAAAAAAATATTCGTAGTTCTATGTTAAAATAGTAATAATAAATAATAAATGTCGGCTAAATTTCGATATTTGGTAAATTATAGTAAGTGGGCCGGAACTTTTGCATTTTCCTGGCCCGAAATCTCTTCCCAATCCACCCCTGTAGTCGGGATTAATCTAATTATACAAAATGGAAATGATCTGTCGGTCTACTTGTAATATTATTTTTATTCATATAACGGGGAGGGACTTGAGTCCTCAAAATTATTTGACTGTTTGTGCCTATGGCTTAAAGCACCCGTGCCTTATACTTATCGTTAAAGTCATTTTTATTTTACGTGCCGATTTGGCCTAGATATTAGAATAATTAAAAATCGATTTTTCGTCCGCGATTCAATTATTTAAATAAAATTAATTTTGTTTGGATATAGTCTATATCACCTACTATAAGTTGACCTGTTATAATGTATGAGAAGGTCAACAATATGCCGGTGGGGGTATGCCGGGGCTCCCCGGTAAACGCTATCCCCACTAGTTTCGTCCCTGCGTACTTTCACGGAAAAATATATAAATAATTAGAAAAATTAAAAAACCGACTCGGACGTATGTTATGCATTACTATTGAAACTTTAAGGCGAACCACTACCAGTTAAGTAACTACTAAGTTATTATTTATTTTCCATAGTCATATACTCAAGGTTGTGTAACACGTCGTCCCGCGTTACTGTCAAAACCACAAGCGTATGTAATAATATAGGTTCGCTATCAATATTTAGTCGTCTGCCCGTTGAATTATTTATCGTTATCACCGCGTGCATTTAATATGACAATATCGATTGAAAACGTTCGTAATATGGGTACTACCTGCGAACTGTATCGGGTTGGTTCGAACCGCAAAACCGATTTACCTAACCGCGAGTACACTGCAGTGTTGTAGAAAACGCGCGCGTTGTCGTCGCAGGTATAACGCGGCGATCATAAAAAATAATAACAATACAACCGTTTTCAAATTCGCGAATTTGAAAACGATTTTTTATTATTTTTTTTTTCTGACCGACGAAATATTATCGCCGTCATGCCCGATCAAACGGCGGAAATAAATTTCACCGTCGTGTTGTACGCCGGAATCATGTACACGGGTCTGGTGATTTCCGGATGGTTGCTAATGCGTCTGACGATCGCTTGTTTCAAATTGCCGTCCATATTGAACGCGGGACAGTTTCAGGAAGGACTCGAGGACGAAGAAGAGTTGAAAAAAGCTTACGAAATGCTGATAGGTAGGTACACCTACGGGCTATGACCGAAATCGACCGACATCCGTCGTAATAATTGTGTTATTATAATCGCCAAGGGATAGGCACGACATCATGCACCGCAACAAGTCTGCACACATTAATTAATAGATAAATAATTCGCGTAGGTAATAATATTTATAGCGAGTCCGAATGTCGGACAAATTGTCGATCAGTCGTGAAAGTCGTTCGCCGACGCACTTTGGACCACTTGAAATGCATTTTTGTCTTCTCAGCGTTTTTTTTCCCCCGGCATTATTATTGCGAAGAACACAAGGAATTTCGAAAAATCACCACCCCAACACAGCGGCCCATCCGGGGAGGCTGAGGGGGCTGCAGCCTTCTCCCAAACGTCAAGAAATCTTAAATTGTTGTTTTGAAATATACATTATAGTAGCATTATTAATAAAACGCGTAATTTGATTTGTAACTGATCAGCTCCCTCAGAAAAAATTCTCAAATACGACACCGTCCCCAACAACTACGATTACGGAAATTACGGAAAAAAAATTGTACAAAAAAGTTTTCGAAAGAAATTTTCGATTGAAGCAAGTTGCTTAAATCGGAACAAATAGCTAAGACGAAAGAACTAAAAAAAAAACCAAATAACAAAAGAGCTGATACCGAGAACAGGCGTAGCCATTGTTGTAGGTGGGATGCTAGGAAGGTACATTAGTTCATTGATATCTGTACGCAACAATAAAACCATTTCTAACGAGAAACGATTCGGAGGGAAGTTCGTAGACATATTTTAAAATGTCGTGATTTTTAGTTTATACGATTTTCGTCAAAATATGACGTTAAATTTTTTTTTCATACCACCGAGTACAACTTATTATAATTTTATTTGTCGACACAAAATTCGTGGACCTCCTCAATGTAGAGGACTAGAGAAAATGACCTTTCAGAAAAGGTGCTACACTCGATACTTCGGAGCGAGATTTCCGGTAGAAAAGTCGTGTTCACAGACACACAAAAAAAAAAAAACACACACACACACGGTAAAACCAATAGATCCATTACTGCGCTCCGGATCTAAAAACACAGGGCCGGACTCAGGTCTCGCGATGCTCTGGTGTCGAAACACATCCCGCCGGGCCCCGATAATTATGGCCGCCGGTATAAAAACGATACCCGGTATTCGAAATCGTAAACGATAGGTTAATACCGAAACTAACCAAACTAAACATCGGTTGAATACGCGATTCATCGATCGTTTTTGTTCGGAACCCAGACATAACGGAATATCGAACATCGGTTTGTATTTCGACCAGCGTCCGCTAATTATTTCGCGAAAATACAGAAACCCGTGCATCCACGGCACTTCGCGGTGCCTTCGACTCGATTGCGACCGCACTTCAAAGGAAGAAATTAAATAAACCGGCGCATCTAATATATTTCTCGCGTCGTCGCGCACACACAGCGTTGACGTAGGGTGTTTCGGTATTTCCCAAACACACTTACTACTTCTGCGGACCGTAGACCCGTATAACACCCGGAATATCAGCGGGACACCCGCCGTAACTTGCTCCAGTACCCCGGAGAGTCAGTGGCGTGTAAGGTGTAGCGACCGCGATGTTCTTAACGTATTTCGCACGGGGCGGGCGTCCAAGAGTCAAGATGCGGAAATCACCACCTAAACGCTGAAAGCTCCCAAATAATGTGTCCATCGACTAGCAAGATTTTGTTCTGGTTAATCGAACGTCGTATTCAACGCAATTAAACGCAATTAAACGCATTATGAAATCGCTCGGGCGCCACCCTGCTCAGTGGCCTACAGTCCAACTCTGTCCGGTCCCGCGGCCAATAATGAACACTCGTCGTGTAATCAAATATCGTTTAACAAAAAAAAAAAAAAAATAAACGAATGACGCAGAACATAAAAAAAAAAAAAACAATTACTGTCATACAGAATAGAACGGTGAACACGTTATAAAATATAATGACGGGCGTATTGGAATAACAATAATGATAATACGATACGCGGATGGGATACGCACCCGTGTTGTAAAAAAAAAAAAAACCCTGTACGCGGTACCCACAATATGCGATTTTTACAAAGCACCGCGTTTGTAAGATAACAAAAATCGATACAATTCAAATTTGTTTACGCGTGTCGTCCGTGTGTACATTTAAAATCGGACACATCCACCAGCGATGCGGAATGAGAAAAAAAAAATACATAACAACAATAACAACGCAATAAATAATAAAAAAAATATTTATACGCGTAATAATAATCGTATGTTATTATCGTGATTACGTATTAAATGCCAAATACAAATTCTGAACATCTGGATAACTGCTATGAAATAAAAATTGTGCTCTGCGCCTTGCACCGGCGTTTGTATTTACACCGCCAACATTTTTTCAACACCGTTGTAACTCAATTTGTCAAATTAACGAACGCAACCATTTTCCGTTAAAACATTTTCATCGTGATTTGATTTTAATAATGCCGTATATTGTACTAGGCAGTCGATAAATAATAATTATTCTACATGGCGTAAGACTGCGGAACGCATTGTTGTGTGCATTATCGTGTTCGCCGATGTCGGTTGACTGGGTATATTTTTATTGTTTGAGTTTCGGGTTTCCTGATATTGAAGTTCCGATTCCAATTATCTATTCCGAATAAATGTCCGAATAATATCAATGCAGTAAGATAATACAATAACACAATTTAATAATAGGTAACACCATTGATTAGAGTATAGATCGCTCATTGGCCGGTATTTCGACGGCGTAAAATAAAATTCCCGATAGATGGCGATTAGATCGTAATCATATTAAATTAAATGAATTCCTGTTTATTTTGTTGATCAATAAAAAGGCCGAGTGCGATCGGAGAAATCCGGTTACCTTCTACAATGGATTATTTTAATCACCGGTTTGTACATTTCTTATCGGACTTGTTTTCGTTTCATTAATTTCAAATTTATACCGGTTTCATTCATAATTTTAGATTCTGAGCGGGGCGAGGAATAGATTTTCATATAGTGTATACAATTTCTTCTTCTTCAAATTAAAATTGCTCTAATCAAATGACAAGAGACCATTTTTGTTGCATTTGGGACCTGGTTACTGAAAAAGAAATTCATTTTTCGATTTTCCAAGCAGTTTGTTTGCTTGTTATCTTAAAAATCTCTGTATAAATTGTTGAAAACGTCTATAACTAGATAATATTAAATTTTATATAAATATATTACGTACCATTAAAAATAATAAATAAAAGCTGTCCTAGGAAAATGGGGACGGGTGAAGCCACTATTGTAGGTAGGAAGTTCGGAAGGTAGGATACAGAAGAGAATTAATTGTATACCTGTAATCAACGATAAATCATTGCTAACGAAAAAACGATTCTGAGCGGAGTTCAGTTGATAGTGATGCTTTGTCAACAATATATATATATATGTATATGTCATATTATGGTAAAATAATTTAATAGGCATTATATATTTTATTTAATAATATTTGTTTAATATACCGGTTTTCCCGTGTTTTTTCTCGGTTGTTCGCATTTGCCGGAAAAACTCTCGAGAAAATCGAAAATTGACCTCCCCCCCTAAAATTATACATCTTTGTGAAACCACAAGCTCCTTCGCTCCACTCAGAATTTAAAATAATATTAACAGTAGGCATTTCGCATACGTTTCCAACTATTGTTGATACAATTGTCAAAAACGAGTCTTTACTGACATTTATTCTAAGAGCTCGGGGACGCTCCCCAATCCGGGTAGACCGACAGCGGAGGGCTGCGGCCTGACGACGCTCCCGGTCGAGCGTTTTACCAACGACGCAAATGCTGGGTACCCACGGGACGACGGGAGCCCGCGCTGCCCCGAGCAATTGGGGCGGCGGCCCGTCACGTCGGCAGGCCTCCGGTCTCGGCCGTGTTCCTGCCGACGGCGCAACGGTTCCGTGGTGGCTGTCACCGGAGTGACATTGTGGTTACGGGTCGGGTTGCCGACACGAGGAAAGCTCTTAGGTCGAACGGCCTCGCAGCAAGCGGCTCCGGCCGTGAACCGTGGTATCTCCCCGGTGCCTACTCAGTCCCTCGGCGGGCTCACATCACACCGAAGGTTGTCCGCGACTAAAAAACGGAAAGCAGCGAGCGGGCTGCGGCCGAACCAACGGCCGGGGGATGGATAGCGCGCGGCTCGTGGTCCTAAATGCGGCACGGGGGAACTCCGGACCGGCTCGCCGCCCCGGATTCTCCCGAACCTCCACGCCACCTTACTTCGGCATAGGCTAAAATAGGGTGCGCGGTTGTAGGGTGACACGCTCGCCCGCCAAAACTCGGAATTCATACTGATATTATTCTGGCGGCCGAACCTTTGCGCGAAGCGCATAGTTACTAATTTGTAAAATAACATACGTGTTTAATACCCGGTTTATAATTATCCACGTGCGGTAGAGATAACGGATAATATTATTGGGAAATCCAGCGCCGAACGCACGCGCTCTGTGCTCCGGTTCTTCGCCACTAGCGCACTACTACGGCGGCCGACACGACTATTGCGCCAGCAGTAGGCGATGACAGCGATTCGTAGCTGCGGCCGACAAGCGGTACGCCGCGTAAACATGCAGCTGTGGGGCGGCATTAGTATTTATAATCAATGGTAAAACCCGTCCGACAAAACTGACATCAAGCCGACATTTTATTGTGTTATATTGTCGTAGTGTTGATATAAAACGCAGTTATTCAGATATTCAGAGTTTGGGCATAATAATAATTTATGTATAATTTATTTGTTATCACGTACACATTTTCCGTATCGTTTATTGCGTTATTGTTATTATCCTTTTTCTTTTTTTTTTTTTTTATCGGCGTCCGTGTGGCCGCGTTCGTTTGTCCTAGACCCTGCGTGGAGGGGCGGGGGGCGAATGCCCCCCTCGCCGTCACCCACCGGTACGCCACTGAACGAATCACCGCGACACCGCGCGCCGGAATACCACGACGACGTAAAGAACGATTTGATTGAACTTGCTCGTCGGCGCACAATTATTGATCAGTATTACCTATTCCGACCATCGCACGGTATTAATTTGTCGCGGCCGGGTACCTTGGCGTGTCGCGAATTGCGAATTGCGCGAATTCATTTTTTTATGACATTGGTAACCAGTAGCCAACAGGGCAGAGGACTTGTAGCGTTTGCATAGTTTTTTCGCACATTAAACGAAAATAGCAGAGTACGAAACAAATACGTTTCATGCTTTCACAAAGCTAGTTTTGAAATTTTATTTCGCATGTAAATGCTCATGTCGAGTTTTTTTTTTTTTTTGATTTCAGGGCGTATTTCTTCCATTTTATACTGTTAGAAGCATATTTTAAATAACTAATCATTTTATCGATATATTTCCGTCCACGTTTTAATTTCATCTTACACACGACCGATATGTTGTTGAATTTAAAATTAATTACATTTGTATCATGATTGTTTTATAATCATACAATACGGTTTTTTTTTTTGAAACGCGTCTCGGGGGTCACCGATTATTTTTTTTTTTTTAGTAGATTCATTTTATTTATAAACAGTTAACACAAACAATTTTATTTTTTACGATCAGAAGAGCTTTCAAGAAATCGAATTTTATTAACGATTTTGTAAAAAAAATAACGTATACACTTTAAAAAAAATATACAAGAGCATAATATTTTTAGTGCGTATTATAGGGTTTTTAAGTGTATAAGTGCTTGCATATTTAATGCTTTTTTTTAAAGCTGCAAGTCCTCTGGCCTAGTAATCAGCATAATATTATAAAATAAATGACATTACGAACGTTGTGTAGCAAACGAATATCCAGACATTTTTGGCGTCGTAAACACATTAAACAGGAGTGAAAGGAGGGGGGGGGGGTAACCACCTTCCTAAATTTACACCAATCGATCAATATTGGACTTGTTCTACTATTATAGATGGCCAAATCGAGTGAAAAATATTAATTTTTATCATTCACATTCTACGACTTTACGTGTAAACAGGTCTATACAAAAACAAACAGATCTTTTTTCTCATCGCCAGCATATAATAGACTAATGGAGTGTAGATACATAATTTGTATTATATACGAGTATTATATTCTCTCTAAGAAAATATGAACATTGCGATATTTTGGAAGTACCAACTTTTTTTTTATGATAATTCAAGGAACAAAT